TATTCATTTTAAAGAAAGATTAATGATTCTGGATTTTTATATTAGTCTGCTTTTTTTCCTAAGACTAATGATGTGTGTACTATGTTGTTGTAAGGTACCATGGTGTTGACGACAACTCATAGCAATCCTGTGAATAAAAGATCTGAATGTTTCCTTATCCTGCACATTCTCATGATCTCTGATATGCTATAGCCCATAGTTACACTCTCACTGTGTCGCTCTGTCTGAGAGTCTTCTTTTCTTTGCTTGATCTTTCCCAGAATGATGTCAGAGGATTGTTCCCTCTTGATAACATGCTCAGAGCATGTGAGACAAAGTTTCACCATTCGTGCTCAGGCTGTATTTCATCGAAGACAGCTTTGTTCTTATTGGCAGTCCAGGATAGATATTCAGTGCTTTCCTTCAATACCACAATCAAAGGCATAGATTCTTCTACAGTCACCTTTATTCATTGTCCAACTTTCAGAAGCATAGGAAGCAACTAAAAATACAGGTTTGTATTAGGTACATCTTAGTGTTTAAACTGTTATCCTTGTACTATGGTCATGATTTATTTGCACGCTTTGCTTTTTAAAAGTATTTTTTAAAGTATTGCTATCAGCACTTTCATCATCTCACTCAGAGGATCCTGTCCTCCATCCCAGGTGTCCCAAGTATTTCCTTTGTTGTGGAGTTCATTCTGAGTCATGGCAGCCTCGCATCTTACAAAGGAGAACTTTAATTGTTGTCTGGTCCCATTGAGTAGACTCTTACTCAAAGAGTACCAAGGTACAATAGATTGAAATCATACCAGATCCTGCATCATCACAAATATCCACTGTACATGTTTCTCCCAGCTTCTTACTCAATCTAGCAACTGAGAGTGTGTATTATTTTCTCTTTTTTACATTTATGCTGAGTATATGTTATCAACAAAAAGTACTTAATTAAAAATAGTATATAAATGACTTTTAACAAAATAACCTTAAAATGCCAAATAATAATTCCATTTCTAAATATTCTGTCCCTGGAAAATTAGCAGAGTTCTTACAAACTTATCTATTAGTTAGTTTTTCATTTAGATAATTTATTGCCTGAAATTTTCTTTAGATTCAGGTCTTTTCCTCGACTAATGGTGCCAGATTAGAGAGTTTTAATGCATTAGACAGTCTATTACCTTAACAATACTGGCAAAAAATAAAATCACACAAAGAACCCATTGTAATTAAAAGATCAATAGCATTTTATTTTGAAAAGACTTTTAGTACTGGCCAATTAAAAAAAAATCAGGTATCACATAAAAATTCTAATATTCAAAATATAATAACACATTGTATAGCCCTAAATACATTTTACCTCAGGAACAATATAAGACACAAAGTCCCCCCTTGCCAGTGAAATATAATTAGCTTGCTTTCCAAATACTAACTTAAACTAGGAAACTGATTTTCAAACATGACTGTTGTTTCATGTATAAAATTTTTTTCTTAAAACCATCACACTTTAAAAACATACTCAATAAAATGAGGATGAGCGCAACTGGCAAATGATAAATGCTTAATAAATCATAATTTAATAGATAGGATTTACATAATTTTATTATATAACTGATTACCTTCTAGATTAGTTATGGATATGTCCCTGATAGAACTATTATATGGAGTTTTTGAGGCAGTAATCTTTATGGAAGCACACTGAGGAAATGCTGGTGAGTTGGAACTGCTGAATACTTTAAGCACTGGGCTGCCTAACTCAAGAGCAGAAAACAGGACATGAGGGAACTTCTCTCTGAAAAGGACCACTGGAATGACTTAGCACAACCCCTTACCACCTCAGAGCAGAAAGCATATAAAGATCCCATAGCCCAGGTCCATAGTGCCTGTATAGTTATATCAGCAACAAAAAGTTTGTTTATTCATTGTTGACTCATAGACTATACTCAAATTGTGGTACCAAGAATGGCATTTATTAGGGAAATAATTTGGAAAGTGGGGGAGGCAAAGATACCACCCAATGCAAATCCAGATTTTAGCCCAAAATTCTCAAGGCATAATTCCTCAATTAATCCAGGTTCTGGTTTTTGTTCTGCAACATAAATTCAAGAAGCCTCTGGTTTCCTCAATCATTCAGCAAGGTTTACCTCAGAGCAGTTATAAGTCAACTTTTCCTTAATTATCTTCCAGGCACAACAAAACTTTGAACTGTGGCCTTTATCTCAGGACTCCTCTAGTTATACTTTGCTACAGTCTTTCCACAACAATTCCACAGTCTCACCACTGCCATCACCAGGGACTCACCACCAGAGTCTCACTCTCACTAGGGTCTTGCTCCAGACTCCCACAAGTCTTGCTCCTCGGTGTGGGAAGCATTCTCTCTCTTGTTCTAACCCTACCGCTGTTGATGATTTTCAAGACCATTTGTCTGCAGTTAAGGTAGCTGGAGACCAGAGGGTACCAACTATGAGTTGAAAGTACTTGATGGCATTTAAAAAAAAATTTCTACTGGTTTATTTACAAAATTTGACTACATTGTTCTTAAGAACAAATTCTTTCAATTTCCCTCACCCTGCCTTCATCAAATTGTACAACCCAATGATTAATCCCTCCTCCCCCTTCACATCCTCATCACTCCGCTTCCACCCACTTCCATCCCTCTTGGATTCTTATACTCATTCTACAATAATAGTTGTATACAATATTTATCGTCCCCAGTCTCCAAGTTAGGTAAGACTTTACAAAATCTTTGCTCCTGTGTGCTGCATAGTATTCCACTATGTGAATGTACCATAATTTCTCAATCCATTCTTTTGTGGTTGGATATTTGGGCTGATCCATTTTCTTACAATGGTGAATAATGCAGCTATGAACATTGGTGTACAAATCTCGTTTGTGCCTCAGTTCTCATTTTCTCAGGGTATATTCCAAGTAGTGGAATAGTTAAGTCATAAGGAATTTCTATGTTCAGTTTTTTGAGGAAGCACCTAACTGCCTTCCAAAATGGTTGTACCATTTTACAATCCCACCAACAATGTATAAGAGTTCCTTTCTTGTCACATGCTCTCCAACATTTATTACTTGCTGCCCTGTTAATCATTGCTACTGTTACTGGAGAGAGATAGTACCTCATCGTGGTTTTGATGTTCATCTCTCCTATTGCCAGTGATTTGGAACATTTCTTCATGTGTTTGTTAGCCATTTGAATATCTTCCTCAGTGATAATTTTTTTCCATGTCTTTACCCCATTTTATAATTGGTCTGGTACAATGACAGGCACATAGACCAATGAAACAGAATTGAGAATCTAGAAATAGATCCAACTATCTATGGTCAACTGATACTTAACAAGGAAATCAAATCTAATAGGGAAATGATAACCTCTTCAACAAATGGTGCTGGCAAAACATGACTTCAACCTGCAGAAAGCTGAAACAGGATCTACATCTCACACCATACACAAAAATCAACTCACGGTGGATCAGAGACCTGGGAGTAAAGCCCAAACCCATAAAGTTCATTAAGGGGCAAACTGGGATCAAGCTTAGAAGTGCTAGTCCAAGGTATAAAGAGACTGCCAAATACAACCAGAAATGCACAAACTGAAGAGAATAAAATTGGTGCATGGGACCTTCTAAAGATTAAATCCATTTGTACATCAAAAATTTTTTCCAACAGGGTGAAAAGAAAACCCACTGTCTGGGAACAAACATTTGATGATACCATCTCAGACAAGAGTCTTATAACAAAATTTTACAGAGTACTGCTAGGCTTCCACAAGAAAAAGACTAATAACCTGATGGCATTTTTTAATGATCTTGATTATTAACTTTGCTTAAAGATTATTATCAGTGTAATCCAAGGTAATTATTATATACTTTTCCAAACCCCAGTGATAAAATGTCATCTGACTATAACACAGTAATTCTCACATACTCTAATTTGATCACCCAGAAAATCTTGAGAGACTTGTTGAGAGGGACAAGAGACAGTATGTTGGAGATACCTCTGGTTCCTCTTTTATCTTTAGAAAGGTAAATATTTTGGAAGGGAACACACAAGAGTTCTAAAAAGAACCAAGCAACAGATTAAAGTTCAAAGTCTGAATGTTTAAATTTTATCTCTCCCAGCAATAGCTTTAGGATAATTGCAAAATTACTTAGCCCTTTAACAATGTAGTTGTTTCTATGGCCCTCATCTATAAACACATGAGGTTGGACTAAATCTCCAAGGCCCCTTCCAGTTCCCAGAGCCCATAATTCAGACAACCCGTAAAAAATAAGCATAACACTGGGATGTTCATTTTCTAAAGTAAAATCGTAAAGGCTAACAGACTTTTTTCATTAACAAATGCCATAAGCTATACGTAACTTTATGGGTGCTTGATAAAATATTAAACAATCAATTTAAGTTTTCATCTGCAAAATGGGATGAGTAATGCTGACTCCTCTCACAAAAATCCATGTGAGAAATAATAAATGAGAACAAAGAACTTTTCAGACAATGAAGTAATTCATATAAACTGCTTTAATAGATATGAGTTCTAGATAGATGAAGCAAGAATAAAGTGTCTTTTTTATTATTACATCTGTGAAATACAACAGCCTTTTTATCTGTTTAAGAAGAAATAGTCATTATCTTTCTTTATCACCAAAAAGTTAGCATGAGTAATTTCTGTGCAAATGGAATTCTTCATATGGTTTGAACATTTAGCACTTTGTCGCTTCTAACAAAATGTTACTTTTATCTTTACCTGATATCAGAATAGAATTATATCTTGCTTTAAGTGGTTTAATGAGGCATCACATCAGCATTATACTACACTACTCTAAGAAAATGATTTCTTAGATTACTAATAAACTGTAAAGAAGGGAAAATTAGAAATTTAATAATCCTCCTACCAAAAATAATTCAATCCAAATATTGTGAATACAGAAGATGATACATTGCAATCTAACGTTCTAAAGATTTCCACTATATTTGTATATAATTATATTTGATAAATGATATGTTGTATTTTTCTTTCAGTATTCCAACAAAAGACAGCCAGAAGACAGTCTGATAGTGACAAAATCCATGGTCCTTCTAAAAAGCAAGGTATTGAAATTAACCTCACTTTATTAAATGATCTGTAAGATTTAAGGGAGCTCAGGTGGCACAGTGGAAAGAAATTGTGCTGCAGTTACAAAGGCACGTGGTTCAAATTGACCAGCTAATCTATGGGAAAAGGATAAGTAATATTCTTCTGTATTATTTACTACCACTTGAGAATCATTTCTGACTCAATGGCACACAACAACAAATATTTAAAGAAATTTTAAGAACATAGGATAAATTCTCCTGTAAGAAAAATAAGTAATGTGTGCTTGAGTAATTTTAAAGTCTGTCTGTTAACAAGATTTTTTTTCATATTATTGGTATATGACAATAGCTAGTTGAAAATGACAAAATATGAACTTGTAACAATGATATGGTAATGTTAATACTCTTATTAGGATTCTAGGAAGGTAAAGTAATACCAGCTTTCTAACATATCTCAAAGATAAGGATTTCATAGACCATTAAACTTTTAATAACTTAACTTGGTGGGAAGGATACCCACCAAGAAATGGGAACCACCATGAGAATTATGTGTTTCATGGTTAACTCAAAAGAGCTCTGGGGTAGATCCATTACATGTTGTGCTGTGAACTTAAAGGTCAGAATTCTAAGCCAACCAGCTTTTCTGAAGAAGAAAGGTAGGCTATTTTCCTTCCATAAAGATTTATTGCACCAAAAACCTGATTGTAGGTCACTATGAGTAGGAATCAACTCAATGACAGTGGGTGTTTTTGAGATTATTTTTGTTTGTTAAGCTACACTGAATCACAAAATGAAAGGCCTTAGATATTCAACACCATTTTATTGCTTTTCAGTACTGGATATAACATAATTTAAACCAAATATTTGTCATGTTGAGAAGAACTAAAGACTAGTCAAAAGATACCACACACAAGAGGAAAATTTTCCTCTTTTTGCACAAGGAGGCCACTGTGTTCAATTTTCCCTGAAATCCTTGTCTCCTATTGAAAAGAAAGATTCTAGCAGATTACTCCTTATGATTTTTCTGACACTAAAATCTCTCTTAAAAAATTTAAAACATAAAAACATCAGAAGTTAGGAGTAATATTATCTGTCTCTAGGAATCAATGTTGTTGTTGTTGTTGTTAAGTGCCGTTGAGTCAAGCACGACTCCTAGTGACCCTAAGACCTGAACTTTGTTCTGTAACTATTGTCATTTCTCTAAGTTCATACTGTTTCCAGAGATATATTGTTTAGGAAGTGGATGCCACTTGTGCTTCCAATAAGCAGACCTTATTACTTCTTTCACTTTTGCAATAGCTCAGGTCCAAAGCAGTAGTGCCTTTAAGCTGTCACCAATAAATCATTGATACACTATAAATGAAACCAGGAAATTATTTCAAAAGCAACTGCCAAAACATTTCCATTGTCATTCTCCTTCATGCCATTGAGGAGATGACTAGTTGTTGACAATCTTTAATACTCACTAAGCTATTAAATGTAGAACCTCAATAGAGCTGTTTTTAGGACACCATGAATCATTCTACAAACAATAGTATATCTTGAATTAAGTCTTCATCATTTCAACTGGCATTTCTAAGATAAATTATGTTGCACTTAGATCATTCTTCCTACTAAATACGTAGATTGACATGAAAACAATGATGAAACATAAAAAAAAGAAAATTATCCTCTAGTCCTCTGCTGCAGTTTCTTTATGTGGTTGTTCTAACGATAGTCTTTGTGATTCTTGCACAGTAATTGGGTGGGACAATACAAATAAGGTACTTTTGCCTCATATATGGAATTTAATACTTGTTATTAACATAAAATAAATGTATGTAATCTGTAATTGTTAAGGTTAAGGCTTGAGCATGATTTTCAGTGGTTTGGAAGTTATGTAATTGTACAGTTTGACAGTTACATAATGATGTTATTATACTACATTTTGTGATGTGCCACAATGCCTGCGATTATGGTCCCATCTGAGAGTGAGATGTCTATAATTTTGATGAGGAAGAATTCAGATGGTATGTATTCTTTTTACTGGAGAGTGTGAGTCAAGTCACCATCCTTAACCCAGTCACCACCCTTCAACACTTGCATTTTCTTCTTTTAGTAAGGAGAGTTTTCTTGAAGATACAGTTTTCATTCAATATATATAAATTTTCTGGTGAAGTTCTATCTTCTCTGATCCCCCAGTTCTTGGAACTTAACCCAGCAATCTATTCTTTGGCCAATCTTGACACTTTCTGGCGTGTCAATTTGGGTTTCTCAGATCCTGTAAACATATGAGTCAGAAGACGTCTCCAATTTTATGCCTGAGCCATTGATTTAGTCCTTTCCAGACCCACACCTCCATGATTAATGTCTTTGGCTGATTGTGATTATGAGACATGTTGCAGTTAAATGCAGAACACAAAGATGAGAAAGAGTCTTGAAAAGAAAGGAAAGAGTTGATATTAAAGATGATTGAGCCATAGTGCAGTTTGGAAAAGCTAGACATTTGGAAGATCTTTAATTTCTGTCTCATAGAAGCACAGTTCTAAAGGTACATGCTTTAAATTCCTCGGCAGTTCTGTGAAAAAAAAGGATAGGCAATCTTCTAAATAATTTACTTATTACCTCTGAAAACCTTCTTCAGGTTCAGCTATGAATAAGTTCCCATTCAATAAACAGCACATAACTACAGCAACAATAACATTGAAACAAGCTTTGAGCTTACTCTTCTAAAAGAAATTATTCCAATAATCATGAACCATGTGGATATATTGTTAAATGTATATGCAAAAATCTCTTTAACTTAGCAAATCTCAATTTTCACTGACATTTTAGGGAGGATGGGTGGTGCAGGAGGATTTTACATCTTTTTAAGAAGGAAAAAGTTACGTCTTTTAAAAATCTGCTATTGTCCCCTATCTGTACCTTTACTTTTCTCAAGAAACAAATGGAAAATACTGTGTGAGGTAATTGCACAAATAGAATCAGAATAGCTGCTGTAAAATCCAAATAGATAAGATTTTTCCTATGTGGACTCCACCACATACTACTCAAAACTTGGTAAATAATAAAGACAAGGACTATAAAATGCTTTTTACTTTTTAAATTTTCAGAAAAATTTTACTTATCAATTATTTGGTTATTTTTTAACTAAAGTCTTCTAGAATTAAGGGTAAATGTGGAGTGGACCTCAGATCAAAGAAGGTAAGAAGGTAACATGTAGCAAGTACACAAAAGAAAACCTTGGAATGTTTAACTGTAGTAATAAATTTTCTGGCTATCCCACAGAAAGCAGTACAATAAAAGTAGCTAATGTCAATTAATTAATCAATCTAGAAAAGCT